TGATGTGCAAAACCAGACTATCGCGATAATTAAGTGCGGGGGCTCTGCATGTTCACCCGGATGTGTGGGGACAATTTCATGGCCCCAAAGAAGTCAACTCATTTTACAAAATCCAGCGTAACTCAGTGCAGCTGAAGATCTTTGCTTATGTTGTTTATGCTTTACTTCAAATACCAAAACAAAATGTTCTGCTTAAAAGCCTAGCACTTAATTGTTGAATGTAAGCCTATACTAAACATGAATTAATAAGCTCTAGCTGAGAAGCATTTGGGGAAGGGAAAAATAATTTACACAACCAGCAACTCAAAGGGTTGGTTAGCTGGGTTACGATCATTTCAATTTGACAAAAAATAGCACGGAAAGAAAGAAAAATGGAAGCCTCAGTGTATTATTATTTGTGACATGGCTCAAGATGGGAGGCCGTGAGGAAAGTGAAGATGACAGAACGGTGCTAACCACTGTGACAAGAACTTGAAGAGCAGCCGACGTGACATCTTTCCTATCATGCTGCTGAAAATGTCAACTTTGTGAAGGACAGTGAGAAAACGGTTGGCCGAAAACTTGAAAGGTGGATTCCGGAGATGCCCATTGTGTCACATGCAATATAGTCTCGGTGGCCAGAGAGACCCATTTCTGGTCCAGCGATGGCCTGCAGGTGGGGAAGCATCCAGGGCCAGCCCAGGCTCCAAAACTGACTGCACTTGACCTGTGTATTGTCTCAAGTTTGCAGCACCATGATATACAAGAAGTGAGTTGTTAGCCAGTGTGCAGTTGGGTAGAATCGGAGACCAGAGGCTACATTTCTCTGCGTGTGTGTGTGTGTGTGTGCATGCGTGCATGCACACACGTGTGCACACATGCAACTCCTGAAAGCCAAACTCAAAAGCATCCATACTTGTGCTAAAATCCGGGATTTGTGTGCTTTAAGGAAGGATTGCACACTTCAGAAGCCTGCTCCATGTAAGTAGCACAAACTGTGGATAACTGAAGCAAAAGAAAGTCTGTTGGGATGACGCAGCTGAGAACCTCAGAGAAAGGAGTGGAAAACTGGAACGAAGGCCCCTCAGGAGAGCCGGAAGAGGCAGCAGAGGAGCGGCCTTGCGCTCAGAACCCTGGGGAGTCTGTCAAGTGCCAGCGTCTAGGCTCCCTGTGGACACACTGAGTCAAGGCTTTGAGGGTGACTTTTCTCGGTTCTAGGATCCAACCAGAGAACAGGAAACTGCTGGAACAGTCCGCTGCTGGAGCAGGCACCTTTCACCTCTTTCTTCTCAGCTTACCTCATTTCAGCATCAAGATTCAGAAGAAACCAAGTCCTCTGCTGGTGGGATTTTTGTCATCCTCCATCATATGCATATAGCAACTGTGAAAGAGAAAAGCCACCCCTAGGCACCCCACCACCACCAATAAATAGTAGGACAAACGGCCCCTTGGCTTGCCATTCTGGAAGGCTCCCAGAGTGTGTCTGAGGTGATTCCCTCAAATTCTGGGGCTTCTAGGAAGTGGAAATGGATGCCAAGAAGTGAAAACCTGGAGAGGTAGACTGAGCACAGTCAGGCATGAGTGAGGACACTAAACAGACAGTCTGCATAAAGACTTCTCAGCCCTAAACATTCTAGATTTTGAAAACTCAGCTTCATCTCTCCTTTTTCTCTAACTCTTTGTGACTCGTTAAATGTTCAGATACTGAGAAACTGACAGATCCATAGCCACTTTTATGACAATTATAGAATCACATCCCCCCCCCAAAAAAAAAAAAATGTTTCCAGGACAAAATAAGAACTACGGAATCACAGCTTCTGTGAGACACAGGTACGGCTCTGCTGGGCTGGCTCCCTGGAGACAGTGCCAGTCCCCCTTTGGAAGGGTTGGGCAGCTCAGGCGGTGGACCACACAGCTCCTGAAGAATATCTCTGGCTCCAAATCCACTCCACTTTTAAGGAACTTGGGTACCTGAGTCAAGGCACTCTTTTAGCCATGGGAAGTGTCTCCACCACCTTTGGGTTTTTTGTTGGTTTGTTGGTTGGTTAGTTGGTTTGAAGATATTTGTTGGGTTGTTTGTTTGCATGCTTCATTTTTTCTGAAGTAATGGTTCTCTGAATGTGGTTCTTGAAGCAGCACTATCAGAGAACTTGTTAGAAATGCAAATTCTCAGGCCCTTGCCTAAACTTTCTGAGTCAGAGATTCTTGGGGTGCCCCAAGCCATGAGGGGTATCACAAACACTCCAGGTGATGCTAAGGCTTGGGAACCAACCACTGCTCTAGAAGAAATATTTATTGTTTCTGTAAAAAAAAAAAATGTGCTTCAGGCTGGGCAGGGTGTTGGAGCCCTCTATTCACAGCACTCAGGAGGTTAAGGTGGAAGGATTACTGAGTTTGAAGCCAGCCTGGGCTATAAATTGAGTTTAAGCTCAGCCTGAACTGCATAGTAAAACTCTGTTTAAAAAGAAAAGAAAAGAAAAAGACACATTTAGAAAAAAACAATGTGTTCTAAAAGATTTAATCAGGTTTTCAGCTTGTAGCTGTGTATAGAGCTATCTAAACCTGTACAAATAACATTGATAAATTATAGAGGTCAAAGGAAAAGAGACTGGTGTTTGGCTGAAGTTTTAGAAGTGATTATGTGAAATCAAACAAAACACAGGAAACCTGCGCTTTCTAACATATAACTACAAGCGGTGGTCTTTGACAAACTATCTTCCTGGGATTCTCTTCTTCATTTTGTGAAAGAGCATCCTCCTTTTCCAGTACCATTTCTGAGCAGTACTCACAATTACATGCAAATCTGCATTGGGTGTCAAAAGCATGATTTGTTTTATCACCTGTTTTTGCCAGTGAACTCTGTACAGCGAACTCTGTGCCTTACAGACTTCATTAGCTCAGGTTGTTTTACTTATGTTAAAATAAAACTCTTCACACTGTCATGGATGACCAAGAAACAAATTAAGTACATTTTTAGTTGCTTACACTTTTTTAGGGAGTAGTCCGCAGAGAGGAGACTGGGGCAGCCCGTGCCTCTTGTGATTGCCAGTGTGGACCAGCACAGCAGAGGCAGACGACAGCCGAAGTCCAGGTCTGCACCAGTGATGTGCAGAACGAGACTGAGCTGAGAGGGCGGTGCACGGGCCTGTTCAGTTGCTGTCATCTCTAAAGCAAATGTAAAAGCTACCTGCCCGAAAAGGCACACTGAGCGATGAGGGGATGCTGCGATCCAGAGAGCTTCATCTCCTAGCGCTGGCCTCAGGCATCTCAAGGTGCTCCACATCAAACACTTTGACTGTGATCCGTCATCCCCTCCGCGCGTGAAATTGTATTTCTTAGCATTTGTCTCTGGGCCTCTTCCTAAGAAGCTCAGCGTTTGTGTGGTTCCTTTGTCGCCAGGCCGCCTGCACCCACACACCAACCCTATGTGTGTTTAGGGCACCAGCAAGCTGAATATTCCAAAAATTTCAAAGCCAGAGTAAAGAAAACTCAAGCTTATACAGAAACAAGAATTTATCAAAGAAAATGTTACGTGGATCTGGAGAAGGTCAATGAATTCATCCTGGAATTTAACTACTCATGAATGGTTCATGCAAAACAAAAAATGGTTTAAGTTAAACTTTGTAACTGAGCATTTGAAGTTTTTTCCAGAAAATTTGAAAATAAGGGCATGTCCCAATATTCTACATCCTATTCTTCATTTACCATTTTGCTTTCTTTCATCAGATGAGTTGGGACAATTGGAGGATTGTGAAGCAATAATTGGATAAGATTTTGATGTTTGAGGGTTTTTTTTAATAATGGGGGAATGGACATTTTTTTCTTTGTTCAAATAGGGTAGATTTATTATTTAAAATTAAGAGTAGCTGACCACTTAGCCCCTGCAAGGAATTACACTGCTCTTTGCTGCCAAAGCTTTTGTGCAGTCGGGCTGGTACAGTATGCATAAAGGATTCTCCCAGCTCCTGCTGCAGCCTGAGAAGGCCTATAAATACGACCATTTGTTTGGTCTCAAGATGACTCGCATTTGCAAACCGCGGAATGCTCCAATAGAAGTTTCCTACTAACACACCAATCTGCAAACCGGCTCAGCCAGTAGTCAAAACAAGTCACTACAAGATCTCAGGAAATGGAAGGCTTCAAATGGGTCAAAGTATCCTGCGTCTAATCTAGCACAGATAAATGGGGGCTATAAATATGCAACCCCTCTATATTTTTTTACTTGAAGGGGCTCTAACAAATAGAGAAGACATGTATGTGCCTGGTGGGGACATAGACCCATGAGAATAGTAACATTAAACTGAAATCACTTATACACTCCAAAATCTTTCTTTGTATTACAATGAGTAATCATTTGCTAAGATTAGAAGACATGTGGTTTGCTCTTCAGTTAATACTCAAGTGCTTAATTGAATCCAAACATTTATTATGACCAAAATTGAGCCATTTTTGAATATTTAACACCAGGTGAGATAGACACATACAAGATACCTGGTTTTCATAGGAATCTTTGTACCTAGCTCAGGAGCCCCAAACCTAAGTACCCTAAGAAAGATAGGTAACACAAATTAGAGATGTACAGCAGGTGAGTGCCCACCCCAGCTGAGAGAGCCCTTGTTAGTTTAGTGGGTGCCAATCAGTGCTAGATGTTCTGAATTTCCAAGAGAAACAAGAAACCAGAATCATATCGTAAAACTTCCTAATTCTAAAACTTTTGGCAACTAGTGCAACTGCTTTAAGAAGCTGAGAGCCAAATGGAATGAGTCAAGGAGCTGGACTTCCCAGCACACTGCCACTTTGTGCCTGTCACCGTGTGGCAGGACAGAGTTGCAGCCCTGCGCATGTCTCCAGAGTGACAGAGTGAGATCATCTCCACCACCCTAGAGGGCTCCCTGGAGTAGGAGGGCACCTCTTGTCCTTACAGGGCTCACTGCAGTGGCCGCTTGCACAATGCACAGCCTCCTCCTCGTGCTGGACATCTGATTGGGCAGCATCACTCCTGTCATGTCTTCTTCCCGCAGGCCTGATGGAATCGGGACTGTGACTGTTGAGGAGAAGGAACGCTTTGAAGAAATCAAAGAGAGACTCCGAGTTCTGTTGGAAAATCAGATTACACATTTTAGGTAAAGATCTGGTGCTCAGGGTCTGCTTGGGTGGGTGAGACTGGGGAGACCCAAAGAAAGAGCTTGATTCTCTCTAATTGTAACTCCATCTTAGACGCACTGAGCTGTCGGGAGCAAAGAGGTAGAGAAAGACGAGGCAGTCAGCAGACGCGGCTCTGCAGTCACTAGCCGGCTTTGAGTTTGGAAGTTCATTTCATTTCCACTCAAAGAGCTGTGAGTTGGCTGTGGTCATCGAGCTGTCACATGAAATCAGACCTGAAGTTTCATCAGGGACCTGTCCGGGTCCACCCTGAAGGAGGGCTGTCCCCACACACTGGAGACAGCTGGGGGATCTTGCACTCCACCCTTACCCTTCATAGCCACTCGTCTCTTGGAGTACATTGAGTGCTTCCCATGTGATTCTGGTGGCTCTGGACAGAGATCCTGAAATAATAACTCAAGAATAGCAATACTATCTACAGTAGTTTCTACTCACCAAGCACTTCCATGCTGTAGGACTAGAAAATTATTAATTTCTCTCAGAACAGCTTAATAAGATAGTTGTTACAGTCTCCACCTCAACTATGTAAAATAGGGTGGACAGGGATTTAGGAACTTACCCAAGACTACCTGGAGAGTCTGAGTCTAAGTTGCCCAAGCTGCTCTCTGTACCTTGGAGACAGTGATTTGAGGAATTTATGACAGCCTGAAACAGTGATGGAACTCGTAACAGAACCTGACATAATACCTGTGTGCTTCCGAAATTCTCTTTGGATGGAGCAAAATGTGGATGAGGTGTCCTTTGTTGATCATGCACTGTGTGCGGAATGCATAACCAATAGCAACAGGTCCAGTAGCCATGAACAATCACAAGGCAAGAGGGACAGTGAGCAGAATCAATAATGGACTTGCGGGACTATACATTTCATGGACACCGAAAGAAGAGTGCTTGAATCTGCCCATTCCAAATAACTTTTCTACTGCTAATCCATAACATGTAGGGTCACATTTGTGCTTCTCATCCACAAAGAAAAGCGAACAGAACCTTCCCTCATCACTGGAAATATTCTTTTCTGCTGCAGACATTTGCAGAGTCCCGCTTTAGTCATTATTCACACACACACGCATATACACATTATGTACACACATGTATGGTGTGAATTCAGATTAACATAACACAGTGTGACAAAATAAAAAGCATTTCTGTTCCTCGAGGAGATTTGCTATAGGAATCAAACTATAGCGTATTTCCTGCTGAAATGTAATAAAGTTGGGCAACCTGAAGAATTTTATGTCTTTTTTTAGGTATTGCTTTCCATTTGGTCGACCTGAAGGTGCATTAAAAGCTACTCTGTCACTCTTGGAAAGGGTAAGAACAAAAGTAAAAGACACGTACAGCGATGTGCATGTAATTTTCATGAGAAACTGTGAGTGAATGGCCTAGCTTGTGATTTTTCAATGGTGAATGTTTACCATTCACCAAACATCAGGATAAAAGACTTGCATGAATTCTGTCTCCAAATTTCCAAATAGTTAAACTATGCTGAAGGGTCACTTCTGACCTGGTTTTGGTTCATAGCCGGGCTTCGCCAGCCTATGTTCCCACCTAGTATTTTCTCTTTAGCCATGGTTTTCAATCAGTATTAACACACAAGGAAGCTGTCACAGCTAACTTTCAATTTGCAGCCCTTGAGGAACATATCTGAGTAATACACACGCTGCTTTGGGCTCCCTTAAAAGTTTCTTTTCTTTCTGCCTGTAGGTTTTGATGAAGGATATTGTCACCCCAGTGCCACAAGAGGAGGTAAAAACCGTCATCCGTAAATGTTTAGAGCAGGCTGCTCTAGTCAACTACTCTCGTCTCTCTGAGTATGCCAAAATTGAAGGTAAGCCTCCCCTATGCCCCCAGTTTTGAATTTTAATTTTGGGATGTCTCCCTAGAGGAGTCTCTGTTTTCTGGTGGGCAGCAGAACACATTGGTCTCTCTGAAGCTGCTGGGCTGAACCTGAAAGAACTTGAAGTGTGGAAGCTTCTTTGACTATGGCCAAGTGAAAGCAAGCTTAGGAGCTCAGGAGACAGCCTTTGTAGGAGGAGAACAATGAATAGAGGATGTTCAGAGGTAACCGAGGGCCTTCTGAGAGCTTCTGAGAGCTTGGCCCTAAATATGGGCTCTGCAGCTTACCTGGGAGCCAGTTTGGTAAGATTGCTGCCTTCTTTAGACAGAGTAAAAGAAGCAATTTGCTGTGCCTGCTGCTAGCATTGGAAGTAAAACAAGAATTATTCGATGCAACCTCACAACTCTACTTACCACTCTCTCGCCCCCTGGAAGTATCAGGTCTTTGGAAACTCTGTACTTGGTGGCAGGCCAGGGTCGAGCTATCTCAGAGGGCTCAGTCAGCTGTAGGTCTCATTGACTCCTATTACTCAGACCTAGTTCGCTGGTTACCACCATGGCCCACTCAAGTTTGTAGGGAAGCAGTTGCTGACGACCTCGTCTTCATCCAAAAGGCCCTTTGAATAAAGCTCTACTTGATAAAGAAGGGATTGTTCTTTGGGACTTATTCACTCACAAAGGTATTAATCACTTTTCATTGTTACCCTGTTGGCTGCCATAGGGTGATTTGAAAACCACACCCACCTTGACCAGTGGTGTAAGTGTATAAATGTGGAAGTTCTGTGTGCAAAACTCAGTGTGTCCGCATTCTGGAATCTGATGTTCTCTCACACGTGAAACACAGGACGCCTAACCAACTCCAGCAAATATGCATTGTCTGCCTTAAGACATCCCTGGGGAAGAAAGATTGACTGGCCACCCAGACCCTGTCACTGACCTTGCCAAAGTCCTTGTTTCCTTAGAGAATTAGGTTAAGGTCACATCAAATTTGCAGTGTTTTGTACATTACATGTCCTCCCTCTCCAATTTGTCTGTCTGACAATGCAAATTGTGTACCAGTGGTAATGAATTCGTTGTTATGCATCCAGGAGAAACACTTAAGAATTGGGCACTAAAAGGACGTTTATCAACTCTTGACTTGGTAATGAGTGACAAAAGTAGTGGAACAAGATCGTTAAAGGGCTATATTCACAAGTAATTGCTCCAGCATTTACCAGCCCAGCACATAATGATTGGTTGGATTTGGTAAACTCAACCAGGTACCTCCTGATTCCAGGCAAGGCCAGGATGGGGTGGAATCGTGAAACCTTTGGTTGCCATCGCTGCCGCCTCAGATATCTTGGTCTAGCTATTACTAACTAGTCTTTTGGTAAGATCTGCTCTCTTCTTTCAGATAAATAAATTCAAAACCAAACTTTTAAGATCTGTAAGTAAAAATGCATTCATTTCCAAAGTAGACAGCTGGTCTGTGGTTTCCTTTTGTGCCTCAATTCTTCTTGGTTGTGTTAACTATCTTTTGCACTGTGACTTTTAGGTCTGGGGATTCTTTGAAGAAACCAATTCTTTTTTTTTTTTTTTTCCAACTCTTTTCAGAGAAGTACCTCATTCCACACTACCTGCTCTCTTCTGCTTCTCTCCTTCTTTGTCCGTGATTGGCTCAGCCACTTTTTGCCACACCCTCTGCAAAAGTGGCTGAGACACCAATTTCAAAGCATGCTGGGATTGTTAATTCAGACAACCCAACATCCTCTGGCTGCATGTGTCAGGTTTTCTTTCATGAACATAGTCCAACATGGGCTGAGACATTGCAGCTTTAAAGATATTACTACCAGACGGCTTTCTTTTATAAGGCTCTGATCCTGCCCTCAGAAAAGAAATCTTCTATTTTTACAGTTGAGACCCTCTGTGAGCATTAACAGTCTAGTTATCTGAGAATTTTGGAAAGAAGTTGTAGTAATATTGCTGGAGACTATGTTTATGAAGAAATACCTCAAGAGCCTTAGATACTAAAGTCTAAAATCCTTAGTATCTTGGAGCCTTAAATCAATGAAATCCTGTTTCCCTTTACTCATGATGTTTTTGGTCATTGTATTCTTGCCAACAACTCTAAAGAGATGTGTAAAATCATGGTCACAATCTCTCTCGTGACTCACGGCATGCTGAATGGTTAATCCAGTAGATCTCAAATTTTGAAACTCCTCTTTCTTTTATCCTGTGTTTATCCCAAATTACTCTGTGGCTATTTTCCTTTGAGCTAATGTAACGTTTTCCTCTAACCTATGACCTTTGACCTTTAACCTCTTTACCTCTGACCTAAGCCTCTTGCATGCCCAAATCCTCTTTTATAGGGAAAAAGAGAGAAATGTATGAGCATCCTGTCTTCTGCTTGGCCTCCCAAGTGATGGATTTAACCATTCGTGAGTACCTACCACCTCCTCACCATGCTGTCTCCACTCTTCCTGTTTCCATTATTTCAAAAACAGTCCAGATCCAAACCAACTCACTCTCCTTGCTTCAAGTTTTTGAGCATTGGCTTGTCTGCTGGTTCTGTCTGTGAAACCCAGTGTGAAAAGTCCACTCACTTTTTTATCAGCCTAAAACAGGTTAGACAATTAAGCCATTTGTTTGTGAGAAACTCAGACTCGTCTGTAAGTTTTTCAGTTCTCCTCTGTCTGTGACCTGAATGCATTTTTACTTTGCTTGTGTGTAACCCTGATTTGTAAAGTGCTTGTCACTGGTACACAATCCAAAGATAGCAGCTAGGCTGGGGGCAACGTGTGAGGTGTCAGATAAAAGACATCAGGGGCAGCTTCATGCCTTTTTCCATGATTAAGATGTCAAACGAATGTGCGGGTGAGACCACACAAGGTGGTCCCTTCTCTGTAAAAAGCAGAACTGATGTGCCTCTTGTCTGTTCTCTCTCAAACTGGGAAGATTTCCTTGTTCTCTTTGGAGAGTTTGACTTATCCCTGTCCTCTAAGCTCTGACTAGGACACATGACTTGTCCTCTGGAGAGTTCGTGTATGTGTCACAGCTTGATTTCACATTGAACTTAATTTTACTAATTTTCTATTTGTGCAGCATTCTCACCTCCGTGAAGGAGCCTTTTTGTGCTGGCCCCCACGCTTGGGGCGGTGGGAACCCAGGGCGACCTTTCCCTTCCAATGCCACATAGCACGCATACCTGGGGGGCATTTTGGTCCGCTTGCTCATTAATCTTGCATATGTGTTCTTGTTTCTCTCTCTCTTCTTTCCTTGTTCTGCTCTCTCTTTCAAATAGAGAATCAAAAGGATGCAGGTGAACCAACTGTATATGCATTATCAATTATCAGGACTGTTGAGTTATATTCAGTTTTTATGTTTGTTTGTTTGTTTTTTTCAGTAGCTCCTTAAGATATGTGCTCCCAGAGAGTTGTGTGGAGTTGCAATAATACTTAAGGAGTTAATTTGTGCTGTCTAGATACATCTCATGCCCATTGCCATGTTGCCCTTTGGAGAGCGGAATTCCCATAATGGCCCGACCTTTGAAGGAACAGAGCCTGGCTTGCTGCAGGCTTCACTTCACCTTGGTTTCAGGGTTCAATGATTTGGCCTCTTGTGCATTTTTTTTAAGTTACTGACCCAAATGAATCCCCCTTTTTGTTTTCCATTTCTTTTCCTGTTTTCTGCTGTATGGAGAAGTTTATGTTCTTTGGTGGATGTTTATTGGCCAAGATAGAAGCCGTGTCTGCGTTGGTCTCGTGTGTGCTTCATCGTCGAGCAGGAAGCCCAGGCAGGCAACGGGGCAGGGGCTGTGGCTGGCAGCTTCACAAGGAGGAAGTCCTTAGAAAATCCTCTGGCTCTGGACGTTCTCTTCTCGTTTGGTCCCAAAACTTCTGAGCCTGTTTTGAGGAAAACTTGGACTTGAAACCTTCATACATGTATGGTGTAGGTCACTGTTTGTGACACCGAAAGGATTCCCCAAAATTCATTTAGCCCAAGTGGACAGTTGGATGGTTTCCAGGATTCAGAAAGCATTTTGGAGGATGTGTTAAGCACTAGGCTGATGATCAATATTAGGTCCCAAACCCGTGTCCAAGACAAGGGAGCCTGTCTCTCCCTGATAGAAGAGTGTTCTTCATTCATCTCTTCACTCACTTCACTCATTTGTTCACTCATTCAGTCAACAAATGCCTGCCATGCAGCAGGCTCAGCACCAAGAGCCAGGCACTACATAAGCAGGGGGGAGCCGTGGCTTGCCTCCCAGAGCCTCCGCACAAAGGTGCGTTAAAGGTGCATTACGCTGTGACACCTATTGGCTGAGCTGTGCTTCGGGGGACTGGGGTGTTGTCAAGAAGCTGTAGCCACCTTCACAGGGTGGCGAGGCTTGAATTGTTTCCTGGGAGAGGTAGATACCACGAAGCCATGCTGAGGTCGGAAGCTGGAGAGGCCTTCCAGTTGAAAAGTGGAAGCCGGGCAAGTTCATGCAATGAGATAGCTCATAGAAACAACTAATGCCTCTGTAGCGGATGCCATGGGCCAGGCACAATTCTGTGTGCTGTTTATACCTACTAAGTCATATTTTCCTTGACACCCCTGTAAGAGGGACAGACTGCTTCTTTCCCAGTGTACAGATGAGTAGACAGAACAAACAGCCTAACAAAACAGTCCTGGGAGCAAAGCAATAGAGCCAGAATCTGACCCCAGGCAGAGGGGCCACACACTGAACAGCTCTGTGACGGGCATGGCTGTGAGCAGAGCTGTGACAGCCGACGTGGGGCTCAGCGGGAGGGCAGGTGGGGGCACGGCCTCAGAGGTGGTAGATCCCGTGCCAAGATAGCATCCTGCTGGAGGGTCTTCAGCTGGCATCTGTGCCGGCTTTTACCTGCCTGTGAGAAAGAGGCCGCCTTCCCTCCAAAGGTGACAGAGAGCGGCGGAAGGCTCCTCGGCAGGAAGGCAGCTTGGTGACACACTCCAGAAAAAGCACTCTAGTGATAATGCAAGAACAAGACT